TTACTTTACAGCTAAGATATAGAGTCAACATGTTGATTTTTTAAATGAGTATTAATTGGTGTTTCTTCATGCTAATATAATAGGTCCTTGATTTTATAGCTTCAGAAATAGTCACTGTGGTGGCTTCAGCTGTTGGCTAAAGTCTCTTCACATAGGTTGTTTTCTTTTCTCTAGGCTCTGTTCGCCTCAACCTTCTGATATAATAGTTGATCCAATGTGTGGAACAGGGGCAATACCAATAGAGGTAATAAATTTTCTTTAGCTTTTAATAAGCAAAAGTTACATTCAGGATGTTCTAGAACCAATGAGCATATAAGACAATGAAATCAAAGGCCCCTTTCCATAAGGGGGGAAAAATATATATATATATATATATATATATATATATATATATATTTTATATATATATATATATATATACCTAAGTTGATATATGATCAAAATGAATGAAATTATTAAATGATTTGACAAGTTATGTATCTAGATTTGTTCGACAAAGTATAAAATACTTAAGAATACTCCCCTTAAAACTGGAAGTATTACAAAACCTAAGTCTTTTAGAGACTAGGAATCTAAATAGGTATTGAAGGAAAAAAATGAATGTTGGGGAATCAGAGTCACCTGAGAGGCTTTCATCGAATTCTAGGTCTCTTTTACGTCCCCTCTACATCACTCTCAAGTGTCTGAGCAAAAGAAAAAGCTGTGAAGCACTGTGTTCATGGGTGAATGGATATTACCATTTACAAAGAAAGAGGTGTTTGTTACTCATCCCTGAACAGAGGGCAGAACGTCCCCTGCCATCATGTCAGAAACCTGTTAATCTGCACAGACATTGTTCAGGCCTAGGGGAGTATGCCACCTTATTCCACAAATATAGCAGTTAGGTATTTACATTATGCTGACATGTTTCTTACCTATAATTGCAAAAATCCTTTTAGGGACATGGTGTTTATCATTCATTCAAAAGCCTATATATACAATGGAGATTACATTGTATTTTGAAATTCTCAAATATTCTAATATATCAGATAATGCAAAATCTTATATTCACAAAAGGATATAGGTAAGTCAGTTTGATTTGGTTGTTTTTTTCAAACTACATTTGTAATTAAGGTCTGTAATGCCTACTATAGTGTGCCAGATACTGCTGTGTGAGGGATTGAATAAAATACTAGACCTGAGTTCTCAGATTTGTTGAGAGTCAGATAGGCATAAAAATAGTAATTTAAAACAGCACAGTACAGTGACAGACATGTACAAAGTACTCTAGAGAGGAGCAAATGAGGCAGCTTGGAGAGTTAGGGTTTATGCACACAGGTCTTGAAAGATGAGTTCAGCAAGCAGAGAAAGGAGGGCATTTCAAATGGGGGCTGTAGCAAAGTTGACAACATGCAGGGTTTTGCCACTTTAGAAAAGCACTTGACTTGGATTGGATGCTTTATCTGTTGACATTTGAAATGATTTTTTCCTTTAATCATTTTTTGCAGTTGTGACTTCTGTTTCAATATATACTCTTGTTTTTTAGGGGGCTACTGAATGGTCTAATTGCTTTCATATTGCTGGTGATAATAATCCATTGGCTGTGAATAGAGCAGCAAATAACATTTCATCTTTACTGACCAGGAGCCAAATTAAAGAAGGGTAAATATTTTTTCAATCCTCATCCAAGAATACACTTATTTATTTTTAGAGTAGAAGGGGAAAAAGGGGGGTGTAAAACATTGATGTGTGAGAGAACAGAGAGTGGTTGCTTTCTGTACGTGCCCCCAAAGGGGAATCAAACTCACAATCTAGGTTTGTGCCTTGATGACTGGGAATCAAACCTACAACCTATACATGCCAGTGCTCCAAACAACTGAGCCACCTTGGCCAGGGCAAAGAAGGGTAAACCTTAAGCATCTTTAATACTTAGATTCTGACTTTATATGATTAATACCCCAAGTGTATTGTGACATGATTTAACCAAAATAAACAGCGAGACTCCATTTAAATTTTAAAGTTTTTTTTAATTGATTTTAAAGAGGGAAAAAAATGTCAATTTGTTGTTCCACTTATTTATGCATTCATTGGTTGATTCTTATCTTTCTATTTTCTGAATATTTTTTGTTACTTTGTTGCAGTTATTGGTGCTTATGATTATAAAACTTGTTTTTTCAATGTGTTTCTCACTCCCCCCATTATATCATGATTTTTCTTAAATTCTTTATTATATATCAATAATCTAACCCTTCATTTATGCTCATATTTTGTTTTCCTGTTGTATCTTATTTCTTAAAAACCAGTAGCTTTGCCTGAATGGGATTTAAATCATGCTATTATTATTATTATCTTGTCATCTATATTAATATATGACAAAGAGGGAGGGGGATAGATAGAAATATCAGTTTTTTGTCCCACTTAATTTATGCATTCTTTGGCTGATTCTTGTATATGTCCTGAATGGGGATCAAAAAACCCGCAACCTTGGCATATTGGGATGATGCTCTCACCCAGGGGTGGGGGAACATCCAGCCAGTGGCCTGCGACATCATTTGGTCTGGCCCTGCCAAGGCAACCGAAGGTGGGATTCAAAATTCAATGAATCTGGGAACATTTTTCATAGCAACACAGATTTATATTAAGTGAATTATATTAAGCTAATGATGTTATATTCAAATGGCCTTTGGCAGAAAAAGTTTCCCCACCCCTGCGCCAGTCAAATTACTTGGCCAGACCCTGCCTTTATTATTTTTTTATCTTACCTTTCTTTACTGCTTATTTAATAGTATGATACAAATACTTTTTTTTTAATCTTAAAGTACCTCTATATTCACTAATTTTACATATCTGCTTTTAGATCTCCTCTTATTACTATGTAGATTTATCAAACTTCATCTTTCAGATGTCACCTCACTTTTTCCCCCCTCTTTAGTGTTGATCCAGTGTCTATTTTATCTGTTTTACATCATCAGTTACATAATTTGCAAGTTTTCATAGTTGTGTTGCAATCTTGTTTTTCCCCTTAATCTTCTTTTGCATGCCAACCTAACCATAAAAATCACTTAGTCATTCTTATAAATTTGGTTTTATTTTATAGACTTATACTTTATACATTCTACTTTAAAATTTTTGATTGATATAATCAATATCAATTGATATTTTAGTAGTATTTTGTACTTTATAGCAGTCTCTTCAAAAAAAAAGATTTAAATTTCCTTCTTCAAATATGTTGAAGTATTTTTCCTTTGTACTCACAGCAAATTGTCCTGGGGTTTGCCCATAGATGCTATTCAATGGGATATCTGCAACCTGCCATTGAGAACTGGCTCTGTGGACATTATTGTAACAGACATGCCATTTGGAAAAAGGTGGGGCCGTTTTTAAAAATCTGAGTTTTACTTTCACTTGTTATACTAGTACCCATGTGTCTTCTAAACCTGTTGTGTTTTCTGAGTTTAAAAACCTTTCATTCTTTTTAGCAGACTGTCAGTAGAACTACTGAAGCATTGTAACAAAGACTATTTGTGTACAGGTGGGGTATGGTTGGCCCACCCCAATTGGGCTGGTGGGGAGAAGGAGGGGGGTAAGTTGGCCAGCTGCCCCACCCCTCATTGGGGTGAGGTGGGGGCAGTTGGGGGTGGGGCCAATCAGGAGGAGGAGCTGCAGGCAGTTGGCCAGCACAATTTGCATATTAGCCTTTCATTATATAGGTTATTAGAGTCACCTTTTTTTTTTTCTTTTCTGAAAACTGAGGAATGTATTACATTTTAATCTTGACCATCACAGGAAATTCATCCTCTTTTTAAACCATTGTTGAATTACATAATTCAAAAAGGTTGAGGAAAACTTGGTTCTCATTTCTCAGTATAAATTATTTTTAATCACTGATTTAGTTCCTACAATGGACTGACTGTTCATGCTCACTAAGAGGACAGTTTATATGCTTACAGTTCTCAAAGTTCTTTTCTGTAAACTTATTCAAAATTCTATGCAGTTTTAGGTCTGATTGCTCATTTCATTGACATATAATGCTCTAGCTTCTAAATGGCAACTGTTTTTCATACTTCAGGATCTTACTGCAATGTATTTTTCTTTTCTTTTCTTTTTTTTAACATATTTTATTCATTTTACACAGAGAGGAATTGAGAAGGACAGAGAGTTAGAAACGTCGTTGAGAGAGAAACACCAACCAGCTGCCTCTTGCACACCCCCCACTGGGGGTGCACCCGCAACCAAGGTACATGCCCTTGATCAGAGGAATCGAACCCGGGACCTTTCAGTCCGCAGGCCAACGCTCTATCCACTGAGCCAAACCGGCTTCGGCTGCAATGTATTTTTCTACTAATTCTTACCCAAGGACATCTTTCCATTGATCTTTTTAGAGAGTGAGGAGCGGGAGACAGAAACATTGATGAGACACATTGGTTCCTCCATGGGCCCTGACCAGGGATCAAGCCGCAACCATTATTTGCCTTTGATTGGAATCGAACCCAGTACTCTTCAGTCTGCAGGCTCTGATGCTTTGCCCATTGAGCCAAACAAGCTAGGGCTGCCATGAGTTTTTAATAACTTTCCAGTCTTAGATTATTTTTGCATGTTTGACTCACTGGGCCTTCTTTTATAGGATGGGCTCCAAGAAAAGAAACTGGAACCTTTACCCAGCTTGCCTATGGGAGATGGGCCGTATCTGTAAACCAGGGACAGGCAGAGCTGCACTACTTACTCAGGACAAGAAATGCTTTACCAAGGTACAGTGCAATACCTCAAAAACTCAGCCGGAAGGCCCAGGGATATTAGTTTGAACAGGATTTGTGTTCCCTTTCCCTAATGTTTCTTATTGGCACCTAAGACTCTTGGTTGGTCTAGAACAGGCCCACAAAATCATTTGGTGGCAAGTTAAATGTTTAACCAAATATAGCAGGCTAATTTTAAAGTTGATAATTTTGTATGGACTGCAGATGATAGAAATACCCAAATGTCCTTGGCAAAAAAAACATTCTGGTTTAGAAGCAGGCAAGTCATTAAAGCTAATTACTTTTATGCCTTTTGTGTGTACACAGGCATTATCTGGAATGGAACATGTGTGGCGCAAAGTGCACACTGTCTGGGTGAACATAGGTGGTCTTCATGCTGCAGTTTACCTTCTGAACCGTACACCTCTAGCTTTTGTTCATCCTTCAGGACAAGATAAAGAGGAACTTCTAAGTGCAAAGAATGATTAATAGTATTTGTGCTTCCTGACACTGGAAATGCTAGAATTATCTTGCTTTAAGAGAAAAATAGTATTTAGTATTAACAAAAGTACAGTTTGCTGTTTAAGTTGGTCTAAAGCTCTTCACCTGGTTTAGCAGGTATGAATGTAACGTCATGAAATTGAAAGTCTTAAGAGAGAACATTTCTTCCTTTGCAGCTATTGTGAAGAGGTAGCTGGGCAATTGGTACTTTTCCTAAAATGCTCTTGGGATTTGGGTTTATATTTTATTTTCAGGCTTTGTACCAGTTCCTGTTGTCCATGGGAAAACAGAACATAATCATAGCATCTTAGGCAACACAGATACTGCCTAAGCTTTTGCCTTTTAGTTGCTCAAGTTCTCTTTACGTCAACCTTAAAAAATGTATTACATTTTGTGAAATAGTGTTGACCCCATGATAAGATGAAATCTCACAAGACCTTTAGAAAAGTTTACCATCTGCCTTAAAACTTAAAGTATGCATGTTATTCAGATTAATGCATAAGAGGACTAGAATTTAGCAAAGGAATTACAAAGACACATTTTTGTTTGTAAATAGTAGCAAATACATCAATAGATGAAGAAAGGGACCAAAAAATCAAATTTAAAGATTTTATTTTTCAGTATACAAAAGTAGTATTGCTTTTCAAAGTCAAACATAACCTGTCAAAATATTTTTAGTTTCTTAAAAGGACAGACTGATTTATCTTTGAATTAAAAACTTCACCTGAGTTCTTTGTTGTTTTCTCTTTGATTACAATTCATATTTAGATGCTTTTCCAGCTGCAGAGAGTAGAAAATGAAATTACCTCAACAGTATTAAGTCCTTGTGAAAACAGTGCTTCCCTGGGACAGAGTACTTGGGGCTTTATGTGGAATTCTTTATAGTATTCAGAGTTTATTTTATAGTTAGATTTTCAATGTCTTATTAGTAATATAATAGAACTAATATTACTTTTGATGTCTTAAATTTCAAATAAAAGGACAGTACTTTGAAAGAACAGAGTTCAAATTAAAAGTACAGCCAACATTCCTAGTCTGGTTTTCTCTCTGATATACTACCTAACACTTGAGAATGAGTGTCATCACAATGTAGTATCATGGGATCAACATAAAACAACTTTTCACTTCTGATAAAAGAAACCATTTAAACCTGTGGGTCAGTATAGCCCACAGAAATGGAAAGTATAAGGATCACATCCATGTATACCTCTGTTTACCAAATATTGGTTTCAGTAACTTCCATAGTGGACATTTAATGAACAAATGAATATTTTTGCATACTGGCTTAGTATTTAAATCAAATTGAGAGCCTGTTCCTTCTTAGCTATAGTCTTAAGTACCACCATGAAACATGACCAGATTGATTAAAGATTATGCAAATATGTAGAGCATTGTCTGCAATAATTTGAAGTCTTTCCACACTAGTATGTTTTAAAATCTGATGGCAGGAATAGGAAATGGGCTAACAGGATTCAAAAGAGCTGGGATTGAGTTATATATGACACCGTCACCTAAATCCTTCTGTGACTTTTGGTTTTTAACCTTGAAGTGGGCCTCCTACATCATGGAAATGTGGAAAGATGGGACAGCAATCCTAATCTGAACAAAATGAACAAATTATAATCTAGACATTTTGTTACTGGGAGAGTCAATATATTTTAGAAGGAACAATAGCAACATAAACACTTTTTAATTAAATGAAAGGAAGATGGTTATCTCCTTGAGACTGACAGTGGTGAGAAAAGGAAACATTTGTTAAACACTTAAAAATAGAGGCCTGGTGTACAACCTTCATGCATTGGGAGGGGATGTTGGGGGAAGGAGTCCCTCAGACTGGCCTGCAGCCTCTCAGTCCTTAGAGGATGTCCACTCCCTGGGGTGGGCCTTAGCTGGCAGATGGATATCCCCCAACAGGTCCTTAGTGCTGCTGCTAAGGTGGGGGAGGCTCCCACCACCACCGCTGCACTCACCAGCCATAAGCAGCGCTCCCCTGTGGGAGCCCACTGACCAACAGGGGGTAGCTTCTCATTGAACATTTGCTGCCTGGTGGTCAGTGTGGTCAAAGCATAGCAACAAGTTGTTCCACCATTCAGTCAATTTGCATATTAGCCTTTTATTATATAGGATGGTAGTAAGACTTTCCAGAAACAGCCAAGACTGTAGATTCTGATATGTTCAGTGTCAAGTATAGCTCAGGTCTCCACTGCAAGAACCAAATAAGTTGAAGACTGGAGGAAAAAAAAACGGGGGGAGGGTAATTTTAAAAGGCCTGTAGAGTGCCTAAAGTAAATAGGCATAGAAAAAGTAATACATTCTTAATTCTCATCATAGCCTTTTCTAAAAATTTCAGATGTAGAAATTTCAGTGGAGATATGGTAAAAGCTTGAAAATTCCATGAGAAAAAAAAATCACATTCAATTGTTGTACCTTGGTACATTTTTAAAAGATAAAGAAACATACAGGTCTCCTATACCAAATTTTGAAAGTGCAATATGATTTCTATGAAGGAAAAAAATGATCACTGTTTAAAGAGACCTACACTGACCCTTGTATTTGGCACTAAAGCTAACATATTTGCTAATCAGTTGTGAAGTTGTAGCTATTTGATATATATATTCATGATAAAAGCAATTTTCACTGGAAAGGGAAATGGTTGTTTTTCATAAACAACTTTCTCCATTAAAATTTTCTCTGGATCCTAGCATACTTGTTCTCCCAGTTATCCAGCCTTAACCCTGGGAATCTTTTTTTTTTTCCTGTGTGTGTGTGTGTGTTTTTAAACGCCATCTAGTTAATTCTACAGGCATTTGAGGGTTTACTAGTACATGTGCTAAAGAAGTTGTTTTCCATACTTTTTGGCCTCAGGACCCCTTTTTAAAAACTGAGGAGCATAAATAGCTTTGATTAACATTTTTCCATATTATAAATTTTTAAAAAAATTAAATTAGTAATAAATACATTACATTAACATTTTCATGGAAGTAACTACTTTTAGAGTGGATTTATTTTACTTTTTTTTTGCAAATCAGTTCTCTCAAATGTCCGCCTTAATAGAAGGCAGCTGAATTTTTCTTTTCACATTTAATTGATTGAGATATGTTACTTATTTGCATTTTGGGAAGTAATTTCATGTATTGGTCATTTGGAAAATATTAGTTAACTAAGTTTAATATAAACTAAAATAAATCTCCCAAATGTTGACCCAGTTCATTATTTAATATCTAAAAATCATATTACTATCACTATATCTCACAAAAAAACAACTATGTACTGGAAAGATGTCAAGCTCCCTGGTAGTGGATACAAGTTTTCCCAAAATTCTAATTTTCACTTTAAATTTTATCACTAAAAGCAGCAATTGTTTTCCTTGAAAGGCTCACTTCCTTTATATTCCAAAATATGTCTGCCAAATAGCCAACTCTGACAACCAAAATTTGAGTCATTCTTTCCAAACTGCACGAGTGCTTTTTTCTTAAAACCACTGTCCTTAAGCATGAAGCAGAAGTACTATATGCAATTTTCCTATTTTTACCCCTGGGTGTATTCTGCAAATGCATGGCAGAAAAGAATAAGTACAGTCTGGTGTCATTGTCTTGATTTATGCCAAGATGCTGACAGCTTTTACCCACCTTTGCCTTTTTACCATGTAAAAATGTCCTGATAAACCTTGAGATTTTTAAAAATATATATTTTATTGATTTTGTACAGAGAGGAAGGGAGAGAGAGAGTTAGAAACATCAATGAGAGAGTCATCGATCAGCTGCCTCTTACACACCCCCTACTGGGGATATGCCTGCAACCAAGGTACATGCCCTTGACCAGAATCGAACCAGAGTCCCTTCAATCCCCAACCGACGTTCTATCTATTGAGCCAAACCGGTTTCGGCAACTTGAGATTTTATTCAACATTTCAACTATTTCAGGATATATTCTGTTGCCAAACTTTCACTTAAAAGTCTCTGACTAGCCGAAAATAACAAGCCCAGTCAAGTTTGTAGATTCATCCATTTGTAAGGCTTAAGTATACTTCTACAAAGATAATTAACAGAGTTCATGTCTGCACATAAATATTTCCTAAACAAGTCATTGTTAAAAAGTAGAGCTACCATTTTTTCTTTGCATCTACTAGTGGCAAATGTATATGGCTTTTTGTTTCTCAGCTATTATGTTTCTTCAGGCAATGTCCTACAGTAACTTATTTCAGTAGCTTTTCCTTACAGTTTATTTGAACTTGATTCTTCCTATAAGAGCTCTGCAATATCTTAAATTCACTTTTTTTAAAAGCATTTTTAGACATAAGCTGTGGGTTGAACAATCTTACTTTTTATTAAATCAATGATCCATTCTTAAATAAGAATATAAATTGGTTTATTTTGTGTTACTAAATTCTAAAATAAATTTTAGTTAAATTTAAAATTTTAGAAGTTTTGAGCAAATACTTAAAGCACTTTTGCATAACAGGATGTACTTATGTTTATACTTAGGCACAAAGAAAATGAAAGGATTTTATATTAATAATTATGTAATACTGAGGGTTGCTGGGATGATAGAAGGTATAACCTAAAAAGTAAGTTAATTCCTAAAAACAAATATTCATATCCCAACCCTACCACCTAAGGAAATTCTATAAAATTTAAGAATATCCTCTGTTCAATTAACATCAGTAATGATCTATTTCAATACACATCATGTAGCCTTTACATACTTGTGAGAGGTAAATAACAGCTCAGTATTATGAATATTGTTTGACCTAAAAGACCTCCCCAAGCTTAGGCAACTAGGAAGACAACCTTAAAAAACAAAACAAAAACCCAACACTCACTCAACTAATTTAATTACAATTGTGAGAGCTGCTATAACATTCAAGTTGGGGACCCAAAGTAGCAGAATTGAAGACATCAAGGTTCCCTGAAGTGATGCAATGAGACTCCTCCCTCTCAGCGATTGGCATTTGGTCAGTTATTGAGTCAACTTATTTCCCATTTTGATTGCCATCACTATACCAGATCTATCACTTGGTGTCTGTACTACTGTGAAAGAAACTCCTGTCTTCAAATTTCTCTTTTATAATCCTTCCTGTATCCAGCAACCAGATTAAATTTCTTAAGACTGCTATCATCAAAGAATACTGACTTATGCAATTCAAACCAGAATTCCTGGTCCTTAATTTGTGTCTACAGCAAAGTTGTTTAACCTTTAGTTTCCTACTCTGTAACTCTGGTTTACAAATCAGCACCACACCATAATGACAAAGAGGTTCACTATCTAGTACACAATTGGTACTCAATAAATAAATATTAAATTTCTTCACCTAAACTGTTTTCATTAGCTTTTGCCTATAGTGTGCACTGGAATATGCTGCCATTATTTATCATGCTAAAAAGTGTGGATGAGGGCAGGGCGGAGTTATCCTCCATTAACTGGACCCTAGCCCAATCAGGGTCAGCCAAAGCAGTGGCATCACCACCGGAGTAAAACCCCAGGACTTGGTGAAACTTCAGCCTTGCTGTCGGCGTGAGTGGGAAGAGCCCATGCTAGGATGGAAAAGGCTCTTTTGTTTATTGCATCAGACTCGGCTCCCTGGTGGTCCTTGGGGATCATGAAGTCTGGGCTAACAGTTGTAAGGATATTTCATGAATGAAGTGTGATTTTTATCTGGATCTGGGTAAAATTACAATCATTATATTTTAAGATTTAAAAAAATAAAAAGTGTGGATGAGATTTTAACCAAAGGTCAGTAAAAAGAAAAAAAGGCTGTAAGGAGTGTTAACTGAATTGAC